GCGGCTACTTCAAGATCATCAACCGCACCGTCCCGGCGGCGCTGGCGCACCTGGGCTACGGCGAGGCCGAGATCGAGGAGATCGTGCGCTATGCCGTGGGTCACGGGACCCTGGCGCAGGCCCCCGGCGTCAACCACGAGACCCTGAAGGCCAAGGGGTTCAACGAAGCGGCGTTGAATGCCCTGGAGTCCGCGCTGGGCAGCGCCTTCGACATCAAGTTCGCTTTCAACAAGTGGACTCTGGGCGAAAGCTTCTGCCGCACGGCTCTGGGCCTGGGCGATGCCGAGCTTGAGGATCTCAGCTTCGACCTGCTGGCCGCCATCGGCTTCACCAAGGACGAGATCGAAGCCGCCAACGTCTACTGCTGCGGTGCCATGACCCTGGAGGGCGCACCTCACCTGCAGACCGAGCATCTGCCGGTGTTCGACTGCGCCACGCCCTGCGGCAAGACCGGCCAGCGCTACCTCTCGGCCGAATCGCACATCCGCATGATGGCAGCGGCGCAGCCCTTCATCTCCGGCGCCATCTCCAAGACCATCAACATGCCGAACGAGGCAACGGTCGAGGACTGCCAGGCTGCCTACGAGCTGTCCTGGAAGCTCGGGATCAAGGCGAACGCGCTCTACCGCGACGGCTCCAAGCTCAGCCAGCCGCTGGCCTCCGGCCTGATCGACGACGAGGCGGACGAGGAGACCGACGAGCTGGCGGAGGCCCTGACGGCCGCGCCGACGGCAGCCAAGGCCGGACTGGTCGCCGAGAAGATCGTCGAGCGCATCATCGAGCGGGAAGTCAGCCGGCAGCGCCTGCCGGGCCGGCGCAAGGGCTATACCCAGAAGGCCGTGGTCGGGGGGCACAAGGTCTACCTGCGCACTGGCGAGTACGAGGACGGCAGCCTGGGCGAGATCTTCGTCGACATGCACAAGGAGGGCGCCGCCTTCCGCAGTCTGATGAACAACTTCGCCATCGCGATCTCCATCGGCCTGCAGTACGGCGTGCCGCTGGAAGAGTATGTCGAGGCCTACACCTTCACCCGCTTCGAACCCTCGGGCATGGTCGAAGGCAACGACGCCATCAAGATGGCGACCAGTGTGCTGGACTACATCTTCCGCGAGCTGGCGATCAGCTACCTCGGCCGCAACGATCTGGCCCATGTGGCGCCGGACGACGTCCTGCCCGACGCCACCGGCCGCGGCGAGGCGCAGGCCAATCTGGAGGAGCAGGTCGAGCAGGCGATCACCGAGACGGTGCGGCGCGTGACCTCGCGCGGATATGTGCGCAACCAGTTGCTGGTGCTGCCGGGCGGCGCCCAAGCGAGCGATCTGGCAGGTGATCTGGCGGGCGAACAGGGAACTGCCCTGGAAACCAGACCACAGCTGGAGGCGACGGGGACCGACGGCCTGGGCTACGCCGGAGACGCGACCACGACCTCGGCCGGCGTTCAGACCGCCAGCTTCGTCTCGCAGGAAGTATCGGTCAGCCGCCGGATCGGCAGCGAAGTCGATCAACGCCTGGAGCGGATCCGCGAGGCCCGCATGAAGGGCTTCGAGGGCGATGCCTGCGGCGAGTGCGGCAACTTCACGCTGGTGCGAAACGGCACCTGCATGAAGTGCACGACCTGCGGCGCGACGAGCGGCTGCTCCTAGAGCGGGGTCATTCCAAGGGAAGCGGTCACGCTATCGCCAGACCTAAAGGGCCTGGTGACCGGCGGAACCGTCCCGCGAGTCCGCCGGTCACGGATCCCAGTCCGTGCCACCGTCCCGCCCTGCCGGAGAACGCCGACATAAAGGGGAGCGAGCGCGCTACGGCGCACTCGCTCCCCTTCTCCATTTCCTCTTCCGGACAGGCCGGTGGAGCTTTCAGTCCGGCGGCCGGCGCGGACTCTGGGCCAGAGTCCGGGGCAGAAACACTTAGCTCTTGATACGCCCTTCGGTTGTCTTTTAAACTTTAACCCTACAACTTAACAGTCGCTTCATTGGATCTGGTCTAGATCATGGGCCGCGGGCGAGATGACTTAGGCCGTCGATGCTTGGCGCACCCGTTCCGCGAGGGACGACCCGATCCCGCCGTCCGGCCCGATACGACCGTGAGCCAGGCTGGGCGCTGTGATCGAGTTCACCTTCATGGGCGCGCCATGTTTGCGCCTCGGCTTTGTCATAGGCAACCGGTAACAGGTCCCCCTACATGAAGGGGACGCAGGGACGTGCGTCGAGCAGCGAGGATCAGATGGCAAAGATTTGGACCGACAATCGCGAGCCCCGGCTCGAGGACTTGCTCGAGGACGAACTGACCTGGAAGCTTCTGGCGGTATCCGGGTCGACGGTCGAGCAGTTGCGGCGGGAGATGATCGATGCCCGGTCCCGTCTGCTTGCCCGGAGCCAAGCCAAAGCCGCCTGACAGCCGTCATCGGGATCGGCCGAGCGTGAGACGTTTCGCGCCGCCTTCGACTCGCCCGTAACGCGTTCAACCCGCCGCTTCCACTTCCCTTCCGGCCTTTGGCTCGGCTACTCTCCGCGCGCCGCGGACGTCCGTTCGTGGCGATCAGCGACAGACAGCGAAAAGCCGAGAGGGAGGAGAGCCGCGCCATGGCCGGAACGATCGACGCGAAGTTGAAGGAGTTGGGCATCGAGGTTCCGGAGCCCGCGGCTCCGGTGGCCAACTATGTGCCTTTCGTGGCGGTCGGCAAGCTGGTGTTCATCTCGGGCCAGGTACCGCTTGTCGACGGCAAGCCGCAGTTCCTCGGCAAGGTCGGCGCGACCTTCTCCGTGGAAGAGGGGCAGCAGGCGGCCCGGATCTGCGCCATCAACCTGATCGCCCAGATGAAGGCTGCGGCCGGCGGCGATCTGGACAAGGTCAAGCGGGTCGTACGCCTGGGCGGCTTCGTCAATTCGACCCCGGAATTCACCGATCAGCCCAAGGTCGTCAACGGCGCCTCCGATCTGATGGTCGAGGTCTTCGGCGACAAGGGCAGGCACTGCCGCACCGCCGTCTCGGCCGGCGGCCTGCCGATCGACGTGGCGGTCGAGGTCGATGCCATCGTCGAGCTGGACTAGGCCGCGGACGGAATTTGCATGATCACCGTGCCGTCATGACCGAAGAGCCTTTGCGCGAGGTTCGGGAGTTCCTCGCCGAGTTTCCCGATACCCAGGCGGTCGATGTCATCTTCGCGGACCTCGCCGGGGTCGTCCGGGGGAAGCGCTATCCGGTCGCCGATCTCTCCCGTATCTTCGGCGACGGGCTGGCCTTCCCGGCCTCCAGCTTCCTGCTCGATACCGCCGGCGCCAACACCGACGCCGGCGGCCGCGGCTTCTCGGACGGCGATCCCGACTGCCTTGCCGTGCCGATCCCCGACACCCTGGACCGGGTGCCCTGGTCGGCCCAGCCCCTGGCCCAGGTGCTGCTGACCTGCCGCCAGCGGGACGGCCAGCCGCTGTTTTTCGAGCCACGCAACGTCCTGGCCCGCGTGGCGCAGGGACTGAAGTCCGAACTGGGTCTGACGGCCTGCGTCGCCTTCGAGCTGGAGTTCTACCTGATCGACCGGGCGCGCGGTGCGGAGGGTGCGCCGCAGCCCCCCTTCTCCCCCGCCACCGGCGAGCGCGACCGGGCCACACAGGTCTACGGTATGGACCAGGTCGATGCCTTCGGCACCGTGCTGACGGACATCGTCGAGAGCTGCCGCGCCCAGGGCGTCCCGACCGGTGCCATCTCGGCCGAATACGCACCCGGCCAGTTCGAGATCAACCTGCGGCATGTCGAGGACCCGCTGGCGGCTGCGGACGACTGCGTTCTCTTTAAGCGCGCGGTCAAGGGCGTGGCCCGAAAGTACGACATGCAGGCGACCTTCATGGCCAAACCCTATCCGGGCGAAGCCGGCAACGGGATGCACCTGCACATCAGCCTGTTCGACGGCCAGGGACGCAACGTGCTCGACGACGGCCAGGGCGGGATCAGCGACAGCTTCCGACACGCGCTCGGCGGTCTGCTCGCGACCCTGCCGGAGGCGATGGCCTTCCTCGCGCCGAACATCAACTCCTACCGCCGCTATCAGCCGGACATCTTCGTGCCGATCCGCCGCTCCTGGGCCGAGGAGAACCGCTCGGTCGCCCTGCGCGTGCCCCTGGGCAGCGGCAGCGCCAAACGGGTCGAGCACCGCATGCCCGGCGCCGACGCCAATCCCTATCTGACCCTGGCGGCCTTGCTGGCCGGGATGCATCACGGCATCGCCCACCAGCTCGACCCCGGACCGCCGGCCAGCGGCAACGCCGCCACCGCCTTCGACCCCGGCCTGCCGATGCGCCCGCGCCGAGCACTGCAAAGATTGCGCCGGGGCAAGCTGCTGCGCGACTACCTGGGCAAGGACTACGTCGACCTCTACGTGCAGGCGAAGGAGGCCGAGTACGAGAGTTTCGAAGCAGCCATCACGCCGCAGGAATACCAGTGGTACCTGCTAGCCGACTAAAGACGGACGGCGTCAGGTCCGGAAAAGCTCCGAGGTCCTAGAGTAGGATCGCCTTAGGTGGGAATCCTGCTCTAATCATAAGGTCTGGAGCGCGACAGCGAAGGCGGCCGCCTGGTTTTGCCTATCTTTGGAAGAGAAGCATTGTAAGAAGGAGAAAATTGAGCCAGGTTAACACTTAAATTTCAAATAATCATTTGAGGTTGCGCCAAATGGATTTCAGTCTATTCCAGGCTCTAGGTTTTGGCGGAACGGGATTTGCGGTAACTTTAGGCGTTCTCGCTCTTTTTTGGAAGGCGGACGATGCGTTCTCAGTTGAATTTCGGCAGCTCATCTCCCAACGGCTTACTCGCATCAAAGTTGACGGTCCGAAGGTTCGCTGGCCCTTAGCCTTTTCCTTGATGTTTGATCATATATTCGGAAAAAAGCATTTGAGCGCACGATGTTTTTTATCTTCCACAGTTGCATCCATCACATTCACGATTATAGTTTCTTTTGGAATATTAAGCGTTAGCTTTTTTTCTTCGAGAGAAATTTACCTCCCTATAGTAGGTTTACCTAAAGAATTTGTTTTCAATTTCTTATCTACCTTTTTCTTTTCTATGTTTGCTGTCAACATATTCGCAGATTATGCCTCTCTACTCCAAACCCGCTATTTCATAAAAGTCATAGAGAAATCAGATAATTATATTTCTAATTCTTGTCTCATCATAATAGATTTTCTGGTTACCGTATCGATATTTTTCGCAATTTTAATTTTTTCTCTTTCAATTTACGCATTTTTACTGGACCGTCCAATGAGCCTTCAATACATTATATATCTTGGCGAAGTTGTTATTTTAAGCCTAACAGACCCTTATTCAATTGATCCTGCCCATCGATGGATAGCACCACTACTTTACTCTACTTTTTTCACGTCATTCTGGGTCTGGCTGTCGGCAGTAAGTTGGGCAATTATTCGCAACCTAGCCCGGATACAGAGGGGCGTTGAAGTTCTTAAGTTCGTTCTTCCCATCAAAGAGAAACCAATGCGAGCTGTAGGGGAAGTTGCCTCACTTTTCGTGGCGGCAGCCTACGTTGTAGCGAGCATTTTGGGAGCCGGCTAAGGGTGTGAGGAAAAAGCCGCGATGGACCATAGCAAACCTTCGACAGACTTCGGACGACGTTGAAGTACCAGGAACACGGTTTTCACCCTGAACGCGTCGAAGGATGACGCTGACCAGGCATCCATTTCGATGCCCAACCGGCCCCTCGGCGCCCTGCTCTCGTCATGAGTTTAGAGTGCGATGCACCTGTTTGACGGAAGCGAAGGCGCTTCCGTCAAACAGGATCGCGCTCTAACCCCGGAACATCAGCTTGACCAGGGTGCCTTTGCCGAGCTCGCTCTGGATTTCGAGGGATCCGCCGTGCAGCTCGATGAAGCTCTTGACCAGCGGCAGCCCGAGACCCGTCCCCTGCCGTCCGCTGGTCGAGACGTTGCCGATCTGACCGAAGGGCTCGACCGCGATCGCGATGTCCTCGGGCGTCATTCCCACCCCGGTATCGCGGACGCTGATGGCGACCGCCCGCATGCCCTTCACTCCGTTGAGCGGTGCCGCGCGCAACTTAATACGTCCACCCGCTTCGGTGAACTTGCAGGCATTGGACAGCAGGTTGACGATCATCTGCTTGGCCGCCCGACGGTCGGCGATCAGCTGCAGTCCCTCGACCGTCACCTCCGATTCCAGGGCAAGGCTGCGTTTCTCCGCCAGACCGCTGACGAGGGAGACGCACTCCTCGATCAGCGCCCGCGCATCCAGCGGCTCCGGGTCGATTTCCATCTTGCCGGCCTCGACCTTCGCGAGATCCAGGATGTCGTTGATGATGGAGAGAAGATGCGCGCCGCTGTCGTGGATCGAGCGGGCGTAATCCAGGTATCTCTCGCTGCCGAGCGGCCCGAGATACTCCTCCGTCAGGAGCGAGGAGAAACCGAGAATGGCGTTGAGCGGCGTGCGCAGCTCATGGCTCATCATGGCGAGAAACTCGCTCTTCGAGCGGTTTGCCTCCTCCGCATGCTGAAGCGCCGTCTCCGCCGACTCGCGCGCCTCGGCGAGCTTGCAGTTGGCGGCGGCCATGTCGTCGTGCAGGCGCTTCATCTCCGTGATGTCGCGCCGCAGGGACACGAAGCCGACGCCCGGCACCCGCTGCTCCTGCACCAGATGCCAGCAACCGCCCGTCTCCTGCTCGAACGGCACGCCTGAGGCGCTGTGCAGGCGCTCCAGGCGCCGTTGCAGATAGGCGTCGGGGTCACTCTCGGCCAAGGGATCGAGCACGACGCCCGGCGCCTTCATAGACCGGCGAATGATCTCGAAGAAATGGCAGCCTTCCAGCTCCTTGAAGGACGGCATGTAGGGGAAGAAGTCGTGATAGGCCCGGTTGAAGTAGACCAGCCGATCATCGGTGTCGTAGATCACCAGAGCTTCCGGAAGCTGCTCGATCGCGATCTGCAGCAGGACCTCGAACCGCTCCTGACCATCGGTCGCCAGCGTCGGCCGCAGGGTGGCGACCAGCCGCTCGCCCTCCGGCAGGGACAAGCGCCCCAGGCTGACCCGACAGGCGACCGGGCTTCCCTGACGGGGGCGGAGTATGACGAAATCGCTGTCGAGCGGCCACCGCGTGGACGGCAAAGGTCCCGACGGGTCGCCACCGGCGAGAAGCTGAGCCGGCGGCAGCGCGCAGAGCTCCGCCGGTGTGCAGCCCATCAGATCGGCAACGACTTCGTTGGCGTGCAGGATACGGTCCGCTTCCGGCGTAAAAAGAAGCACCCCGGCCCCAAGACCGCCCTCGGTCCGGCTTCTCATTGCCTCGCGCAGGTCCGGCCCACCCAGACCGGACTTACGGCGAAAGAGCGTACGTCGAGAGGAATGGCGGGGTCTCAAACGCTTCCCTTCCTCTCCCATTCCAACCCACTCGACTCTCGTCCCATACGCCAACGGCGACTCAAGTTTATAAAATTCTCACTCCAGAAAATGGATAAACAAACTCTACCATAAGATTAACGGCTCTGTCCTCGCGCCGACGCGGCGCGCCGATCGCACTCGCGCGACGGGGCCACAGGCAATCTTCGCGTCTCCGCTGGTCACGTCTCCGCCAGTCAGGCGCCGTCCTTGGCCCGAGTCAGGCTTTCCAGTGCCGCCACGTAGTGCTGCCAGTAGGTGTCGCCTCGGTCGGGGTCTCCCGACGCCTGAGCCTGCCGGATCGCGCGTCCCAAAGCCTCGGCATGTTCGGGCCAGGTGAAGACGCCGCGTTCGACGAGATGCTGCGCAAGCGCGAAGGCCCTGGCCTGCCAGGGCGCATCAAAGGGCTGGCCGGAGTCCGGGAGCAGAGTGTCGGTCATCCGGCGATCTCCGGCTGGGCCGCCGCCTCCAGATAGGATTCGAAGCAGTCCGCCTGAACCGATCCCGGATAGGCCTGCGCACCCCAGATGTCCCGTGCATCGAAAGCGACGGTGTAGAGATGCTGCGGCAGCTCGCCGGCACCGCTGGCATTGGCATCCGGGAAGACGTGGGCGCCGTGGTGCAGCAGCACCCGGCCCGGCCGTCCGCGCAGGTAGCGCGGCAGCCGGGTATGCCCGCCGGGGGCCATCACCTTGGTGACGACGCGCTCGCCGATCGTGAAGCCCGCAGGGTCGCCCGTCGGACGCGCGCTCGGTCCGCCTTTGGCCAGCGTTGCAGCCACCTGTTCCGCCTTCAGCACGCGCGGCGGGACGGCAGCAGGCTGCAGAGACCGGCCCTGGGCGATCTCCTCACGGCTGCAGAGGCCGGACTGAACCAGCAGCGTCTCGAGACCGTGCAGCCAGATCTGGTAGTAGCTCTTCGCAAGGTAGGCGCCGGGAGCCTGATTCTCGCGGGCGTAGCGGGACTTGTCGATGTTCCAGCACCCGGTCGCCCCCATCGCCAGCGTCAGCCCGAAGACCCGCCGCTCCCACTCCACCTTGAAAAGCGGGGCCTCGCCGCCGCGCGAGGTGGCGTCAGGCTCGACCGGGCCGAAGCCTTGCATTCCGCCAAGATCATGCGCGCCATTCACGGTGTGGCGTCCCGGGCGGAATCCGCCGCCAGATCCCGCGGCGACTTGGCCAGACCGGTTCCGATCATCGAGTCCCGCGTGACCAGATCGGCCAGCCGCTCCTCGCTCCAGCCCTCGGTGCCCTCCGGCCGCTCAGGGATCACCAGGTAGCGAACCTCCGCCGTGGAGTCCCAAACCTTGAACTCGGTGTCTTCCGGCAGGTCCACCCCGAACTCCTCCAGCACACCGCGCGGATCCAGAACGGCGCGCGAGCGGTAGGGCGCCGACTTGTACCAGGTCGGCGGCACACCCAGCACAGGCCAGGGATAGCAGGAGCAGAGGGTACAAACGACGAGGTTGTGAAGCCCCTTTGCGTTTTCGACAGCCACCATGTGCTCGCCCTGACGCCCGGCAAAGCCCAGATCCGCGATGGCGCCGGTGGCGTCCGCGAGCAGGCGCTGGCGATAGGCGGGGTCCGTCCAGGCCTTAGCGACAACCCGGGCACCGTTGCGCGGCCCGATCTTGGTCTCGTAGGTCTCGATCAAGGCATCGACCGCCGCCGGATCGACGTAGCCCTTCTCGACCAGCAACGCCTCGAGGGCCTGAACCCGCTTGGTCATGGGGTCCGGCCCGGCATCGTGGTCGTGCGCGGGGTCGTCTGCGTGATCATGACTGTGCGCGAGGTCGTGGCCGTGTGCAGGGTCATGGCCAGGCGGCGAACTGCCGGAGGGATCGCGATCCTCGTGTGCCATGAGCGTCTGTCTCCAAGGCCCAAATTGGCCAAGGAGTTTGGACGTAGGCCGACGGCTGCATCAAGAGGACTAAATTACTTATTATTTTTGTATTATATTTTCGATTGACGGCGAGCTGCCGTGGAACGATGCTAGGTCTTCAGCGCCGCTTTGAGGCTCAGCTTGCGGGGCGCTATACAAATACCAGCTAAAGCGAGTGGGACAGGTCCCGCCGCTCAAGCCGCGCCGGGGCTTTTTTTGTGCCCGACAGTGCGGTCTGACGCGGCTCTCCCCTTCCCGGCATCGCGGAGCCTCGTATCGAAACGGGCCTCCGCGGAGGCCGTAGCGAAGCGAGGAGAGTTGTTATGTCGACCCGTCGTACCTTCCTGTCCCTGGCCGCCGCCGCGCTTGCGACCGTCGGCCTCGTCACTGCAGATCTCAGCACCGCCGCCCCGGCCTCCGCTGCCGACACGCCCGAGCGGATCGGCATCGACTGGGCCTACTACAATCCCGTCGCCATCCTGCTGAAGAACAAGGGCTGGCTGGAAGAGGAGTTCGCCGAAGACGGCACGGAGATCCGCTGGGTGCTCTCGCTCGGCTCCAACAAGGCGCTGGAGTTCCTGCGCGGCGGTTCGCTCGACTTCGGCTCCACCGCCGGCGGCGCCTCGGTCGTCGGCCGCGCCACCGGTCTGCCGATCAAGGCGATCTATGCCTACTCGAAGCCCGAATGGACCGCGCTGGTCGTCCGCGCGGACAGCGAGATCCAGAGCGTCGCCGATCTGCAAGGCAAGTCGGTTGCGGTCACGCGCGGCACGGACCCGCATATCTTCCTGCTGCGCGCCCTGGCCGAGGCCGGCTTGAGCGAAGACGACATCAAGCCGGTCCTGCTGCAGCATCCCGACGGCTACCGGGCCCTGGAACGCGGCCAGGTCGAAGCCTGGGCCGGCCTCGATCCGCACATGGCCAAAGCCGAGCTGGAGTCAGGCGCCCGGCTGTTCTTCCGCAACGCAGACCTGAACACCTACGGGATCCTGAACGTGCGCGAAGCCTTCGCGCAGGAGCATCCCGAAACGGTCGCGCGGGTGCTGAAGGTCTACGAGCGGGCCCGCCGCTACGCCCTGGAAAACCCCGAGGAGCTGCAGGCCGGACTGGTGGAGGCAGCCAAGATCGAGCCGGCCGTCGCCGCCCGTCAGCTCGAGCAGCGCACCGACATTACCGATCCCGCGATCGGACAAGCCCACCGCGAGACCTTCCTGGCGACCGGCGAGGTGCTGCAGAACATCGGGGTGATCGGCGCCGACGTCGAGATCGCCACGGTGGTGGACGAGCTGATCGACAGCAGCTTCCTGACGCGGCAGGCCGCGGATTCCGGCAAGGCCGCTCAGTAATGCTGGCCGAGAACAGCGCGCGCCGCGTGGCGCCGAGCTGGCAAGGGACGGCGGCGAAAGCCGCCGTCCTCTCCGCCACCTTGTTCACTGCCGCACGTTTCGCAGTGCGTTTGAAGGGACTGCTTCTGCCGCTTGTCCTACTGCTTACCTGGGAGGCGACGTCGCGTCTGGAGCTGATTCCCGGCTACCTGCTGCCGGCCCCCGGCGAGGTCTTCAACGAGTTGGCCGCCCTCTGGCAGTCCGGCGAGCTGATCGACCACATCCTGATCACCGCCTGGCGGGTGGCCGTCGGCTTCGCCGTCGGCGCCGCCGCCGCAACTCTGCTGGGGGCACTGACCGGGAGTTCGCGCCTGCTGCGCGAGCTGCTCGATCCGACCCTTCAGGCGCTGAAGGCCGTGCCGTCGCTCGCCTGGGTCCCGCTCTTCATCCTCTGGTTCGGGATCTTCGAGACCTCGAAGGTGCTGCTGATCGCGGTCGGCGTCTTTTTTCCGATCTACCTGAACCTGGTGACCGGCATTCTGGGCACCGACCGCAAGCTGGTCGAGGTCGCCCGGATCTGTGGCCTGTCCCGGATCGATCTCGTTCGCCGCATTCTGGTGCCGGCCACGCTGCCCAGCTATCTAACCGGTCTGCGAGCCGGTCTGGCGCTGGGCTGGATGTTCGTGATCGCCGCCGAGCTGATGGGCGCCAGCGAAGGTCTCGGTTTCCTGATGATCGACGGTCAGATGACCGGCCGGCCCGCGATCATCATCGGTGCCCTGATTCTCTTCGCCCTGGCGGGCAAGCTGTCGGACGCCTTGATCCAGACGGTGGCCACACGACTTCTTTCGTGGCAGGACGGCTACGGCGAAACCCAGGAGAAGGCCGATGCTTGAGATCAACTGTCTCGGGAAGACCTTCGATGCCAGCGCCGGCGTGGCTCATAAGGCACTGGAGGGCGTCAGCCTGACGGTCGGCCAGCACGAGATCGTCTCCCTGGTCGGCACCTCGGGCTCCGGCAAATCCACCCTGCTTCGCATCGTCTCCGGGCTGGAAGCCCCGACCAGCGGCGCCGTCTCCCTCGACGGGCGCAGCGTCGAGGCCCCCACGCCGGAAGTCGGCATGGTCTTCCAGGAGCCGCGGCTGATGCCCTGGCTCAGCGTGCGCGAGAACGTGCGCCTGGCCCTGCTCGACCTGCCCAAGCCGGAGCAGGAGGCGCGGATCGCCGAGGCCCTGGAGGATGTCGGGCTGGCCGGCTTCGCAGAGGCCTACCCGCGCCAGCTGTCCGGCGGCATGGCGCAACGCACGGCGATCGCCCGCGCGCTGGTCCGGCGTCCCAGCTTCCTTCTGCTGGACGAGCCCTTCAGCGCCCTCGACTCCTTCACCCGCCAGAAGCTGCAGCAGCATCTGCTGGCGCTTTGGGAGCGCTCGCGCTTTACGCTCGTCTTCGTCACGCACGACGTGCTGGAGGCCGTGACACTCTCCGACCGCATCCTGGTGATGCGCGGCCACCCTGGCCGTATCCACCGCGAGATCCACGTCGATCTTCCTCGCCCCCGCGCCCGCACGGCCCCCGAGGTGCGCGGGCTGGAAGAGGAGATCGTCACCGCACTCGACCTGTCATAAGGAGACGAAACCGATGAGCGACCCGATTACGGCGGAAGAGCTGAAGGCCCTGCAGGCGCCTTTGAAGTCCAAGTACCGCGAGGACGCGACAGCCGGTGTCGTGACCTTCCGCGCCGAGGGCCGACTGGACGAGGGCATCTCCTGCAAGGTCGATACCGGTCGTGCCTTGGTCGACGCCGGACTGCACCCGGCCGCCGGCGGCTTGGGCGACCAGGCCTGCTCCGGCGACATGCTGCTGGAGGCCCTGGCCGCCTGCACCGGCGTGACTCTGCGCGCCGTCGCGACCGCCATCGGCTTCGACCTGCGCGGTGGCCGGGTGCTCGTCGAGGGCGACCTGGACTTTCGCGGAACGCTGGGCGTCGAGCGGGAGGCGCCGGTCGGCTTCCAGTCTTTGCGCCTGAGCTTCGATCTCGAAACCGACGAGCCGCAGGAGCGGATCGATCAGCTTCTCAAGCTGACCGAGCGCTTCTGCGTCGTGCTGCAGACCATCCAGAAGCCGCCGCAGATCGAGACGAGGCAGGCGGTCACGGAAACCGTGACCTCCTAGAGCTGATAGCCGATCAACCGGCCGAGACCGAGCACTGTCAGCCAGAGGCACAGGGAAACGGCGGCGAACGGAGCGATCAATCGCCGCAGCAGCCGTCGCCGCCGCGCCAGCACGGCATTGGCGACGGCGAGGATCTGTCCGGCGCCAATCAGCGGATAGAGCGAGCGGAACCGGCGAAGGACGGTGGCGACGTTCGTCGCCTCTAGCGCCAGCAAAACCTCCACTGCAAACGCCCCGGTCCGCCAGAGCGAAAGATGGACGGCAGACCATTTGTATTTCTGCTAAAGGCGCTTCGCGCGGTGAGACCAACCTCACAGCTAACACATACGAAGAGTTGCAGATTTCCGCCGCAAGCCTGACAAGAGCGCCCGCTCGGGCCGTTCCTCGTCCGTCCAGGGCCAGCCAGCCTATCCGTGAGGCAATTCAATATGATCTCGCTTCTTTCTGTATCCTTTTCGACGAACAGCCTTTGCAGGGCGCGGCCCTTGAGAGTCCGGGCGGCGGCACTCGCTGCCATGGCGCTGCTCTGTCTCTCGCTGACCGCCGTCGCGACGTCGGCACAGGCCCAGGGGACAGCCGGCGAAGCCGAAACGGTCGCGCTGATCGAAGCCGTCAGCGGCCGAGCCGTCTTGCAGCGCGGATCGGCCAGTCTGACGGTCGAAGCCGGACTGGACGTCCAACGGCTCGACGAGATCATGACGTCCGGCGACGGGCGTTTGCGCCTGGCCTTTCAGGACGGCACCGTCATCACCGTCGGTCCCAACTCGCGCGTGTTGGTCCAGTACTACCTCGACGCCTTGAACGTGCAGGACCGCAGCCCGCGCTTTCTGACCCTGGTCGTCGGGATCCTGCGCGCCAGCGTTCCCAGGATCAGCTCGCTCGGCTGGTCCGTAGAAACCCGCGCCGCCATCGCCTCGTCCCGTTCGACCGAGTGGATCGTGGAGGCGAGCGACGACACCACCTCGGTACTGGTGCTGGGCGGCCGCGTCGAGGTCGCCGATACCCAGGGCGGCCAGCTCCTGCTGACCGGCGGCGAAGGCGTTGACGTGACACTGTCGCAGCCGATCGCCGCCGAACCGACCCGCTGGAACGCCGCACGCCTGATAGACGCCGTCGAGCGCACGACTCTTCAATAGAGATCCGGTCTTCGAGAATGCCCCGGTCTTCAGCAAAGCTGGGGTCTTCAGCAAAGCTGGGGTCTTCGGCCACACTGCCGGCCTCGGGCCAAGATTCGGCTTTCGATGTCATCGCGAGGGCGGACTGCTAGACTTCGGCATCGACCGGTCGCCCTGCTCCGCGCGACCGCCGATCCGACGGCGTTCAGAGAACGGCATTCAGGGGCAATCCGGGAGTTGGCGCGATGCGCTCACAACCATGGCGGCCTCAGCGTTTTGCGGTAGCGTCGGTCGGCCTCCTGGCGGCGCTGCTTGCTTTCATCCTGCTCGATGCGCCCATGGTGCAGCGCCTGGAGGCGCCGACCCTCGACTGGCGCTTTCAGTTGCGCGGACCCGTCGCGCCGGGCCCCGACATCACCCTGGTTCTGATCGACGAGCCGAGCCTCGAAGCCTTGGGCGGCTGGCCGCCCTCGCGGTACGATCTGGCCCGGGCGGTGGAGCACCTGACGGACGCCGGGGCGCGTCTGATCGTTTTCGACCTCTTGTTCGCCGCACGCGGCGGTACCGACGATGAGGAAAGCGCGGACGCGGCACTGGCCGACGCGATCGCCGAAGCGGGTAATGTCACCCTAGGCTACGCCTTCACCTTCGGTCCGGAGATGCTGGCGCGCCTGGAGGACTCGGATCTTCCCCCCGAGGGAACCGCGCTGCGGCGCTACCGGAGATCCCCGGAGGCCATCAGCCCCCTGCCCCATGCGAGCGGAACTCTGCTGCCGCCCCCCCTGTTCAGCGAGGCCGCCGCGACACTCGGGCATATGTCGGTGCTGCTGGCCCCGGACGGCGCCCTGCGGAGCCAAGCGACGGTTGTCGCTTTCGAGGGCACCCTCTATCCCTCGCTGACCTTGCAGGCGGCGAGACAGTTCCACCGGCTGCCACGGAGCGATCTGACCGCCGAAGTGGGCCAGTCGATCAGGCTCGGCGACCGGCGCTTCGCGGTCGACAGCCGCATGCGCCTGCCCGTCAACTTCTACGGACCGGCGGGAAGCTTTCCGAGCTACAGCCTGATCGACTTGCTGAAAGGAGCCGTGCCCGAGACCGCACTGCGGGACAAGGCGGTGATCGTCGGGAGCACGGCCGCGGCCGCCGTGCCGGTCTTCGTCACGCCTTACGATTCGGCCCTGCCGTCGGTCGCCTATACGGCCACGGTGCTGGACAACCTGCTGCAGGGCCGCAGTCTGGTTCGGCCGGAATGGCTACGCGGCCTGGATATGCTGGCCGCCGGACTGGGCGCCGCGCTGGCCTACGGCGCCGCGCGCCGCCTGCGCCCGCTGGCCGTCCCCCTGGCCCTGCTGGTCCCGGGAACGCTCTGGACCGCCCTGGCCTATCTGGCTTTCGTCCGCTGGCAGGTTTGGCTGGCGCTCGCCGTGCCGCTCAGCCTCATGGCCCTCGCCGCCGGCTTCGGTGCGCTGATGCACAGCCGCGCCGAGCAGCGACGGCGCGAGGCCGTCGCCCGGGAACGGCAGAACCTTTCCCGCTACTTCTCGCCCGCCGTCGCCGAGCGGCTGGCCGCAAAGAGCGAGCCCTACAGCCTGACCGGCAGCCAGTCGGCCACGGTCGTCTTCATCGACATCATCGGCTTCACGGGGATCTGCGAAGCCCTGCCGAGCGACCGGACGATCGAGCTGCTCCGTGGCTTCCACAGCCGGGTCGAGCGCGCGGTCTTCAGCCATGGCGGTACGCTCGACAAGTATCTGGGCGACGGCGCGCTTGCCGTCTTCGGCGTCCCCGATCCGCTGCAAGGCGAGGCTGCCCGCGCCCTGGCCGCCGCGGTAGAGCTGCAGGCAAGCATCGCCGCCTGGTCGGAGGAACTGGCCGCGGAGGGCCTGCCCCGCCTGACAACCGCCATCGGCATTCATCACGGGCCGGTTATCGTCGGCGACATCGGCGGAGAGAGCCGCTTCGAATTCACGGTCTTGGGCGACAGCGTCAATGTCGCCAGCCGCCTTGAGGGTCTGACCCGGCAGCTGCAGGTGGCCATCGTCGCTTCGGAGACGACGATCGAGCGGGCGGGCGAAGACGCCGGCGAAGCGGTCGGCGGCATCCCCTTCGGCTTTCACCGGTACGGAGAAGTCACCTTGCGTGGACGGGAAAACCCGCTGGCCGTCTGGGTCTGGCGCCCGGCGGAGCAGAGCCGCCTGGAGGACAGCCGCGCAGCGGTATGAGGCAGATCCCAGGAGCCGAGCGGCCTCGCTGGTGCAGGGGCCGGCACGACATCCAAGCTTGTCTTGCCAGAACGCCAGCCGCACCTACACTCCAAGCATGCCCGACGGAGCCGACAGCCTGACCCTGCGCGCGGCCGCCTCGCTGAGCGACGTCACCGCCGAGCAGTGGGACGCCTGCGCCGGTAGCGCCAACCCCTTCGTCAGCCATGCCTTTCTGAGCGCCGTCGAGGAGTCCGGGTCCGCGACGGCGGAGCGCGGATGGCTCGGCCAGCATCTTCTGCTGGAACGGCCGGACGGCACGCTGCTGGGCGCGGTGCCGCTGTATCTCAAGAGCCACTCCTACGGCGAGTACGTCTTCGATTGGGGTTGGGCCGATGCCTACGAGCGGGCCGGCGGAAACTACTATCCCAAGCTTCAGTCCTCCGTCCCCTTTACCCCGGTGACGGGGCCGCGGCTGCTCAGCCGGCCCGGAGAGGACCGCGACCGCATCTGCCGGATGCTGATCGCCGGTTTGGCCGAGGTGACCAAGCGTCACGAGGCCTCGTCTCTTCACATCACCTTCCCGGAACGCGAGGAGTGGGCACGTCTGGGCGAAGCCGGCCTGCTGACGCGGATCGGCTTGCAGTACCATTGGCACAACCCCGGATACGAGAGCTTCGACGCCTTTCTCGACACCCTGGTGAGCCGCAAACGCAAAGCGATCAAGAAGGAGCGCCGCAAGGTTCAGGAAAGCGGGCTGCGCCTGCGCGCGCTGGTCGGCGCGGAGATCGAGGAGCGCCACTGGGACGCCTTCCACCGCTTCTACCTCGACACGATCGACAAGAAGTGGTCGCGCCCCTACCTGACCCGCGAGTTCTTCCTGCTGCTGGGCGAACGGCTTGGCTCCAGGGTAGTGCTGATCGTCGCCGAACAGGGCGGCGACGTCCTGGCCGGCGCCCTCAACCTGATGGGCGAGGAGGCGCTCTACGGCCGCAACTGGGGCTGCGCCGCCGACCACAAGTTCCTGCACTTCGAGGCTTGCTACTACCAAGCCATAGAGTTCGCCATCGCCCACGGCCTGAAACGCGTCGAAGCCGGCGCACAGGGGGAACACAAGATCCAGCGCGGCTATCTGCCGGTCGAGACCTATTCCGCTCACCTGATCCCCGACCCCAGCTTCCGCCAGGCCGTCGCTCACTTCCTGGAGCGCGAAGCCAAGGCCGTCCGCTCCGAGATCGCGGCTCTGGGCGACTGGAGCCCTTACCGGGCCTCCACGCCGGGATGACGGCCCGGCCGCCAAAGACCTGGCTCTCGCCACTTTCGCGGCGGCAGCCGTGGGCCGTCATCCTGCTGAGTCTGCTTCTGTCGGCGCCACTTTCGGCCCCTGCATCCGATTGGGCATCCGATCCGGCGCAGGCCTGCCGGACAGCGCCGCGCGTGGCGGCGGTCGAGCCCTGCCAGGCAGCGCTGCGCGCGGACCCTCACGACCTGGAGGCTCAGCGGCGCCTGGCCTGGGGTTTGCTCGCCACCTACCGCGAGACCGAGGCCATCGAGCGTTTCGTGGCGCTCGCCCGCGCCCGGCCGGACGATCCGCAGGCGCAGTTCGATGCGGCCTCCGTCATGACGGGTCTGCGCATGTACCCGCAGGCCCTGCCCTATCTTCGGCGGGCGCTCGCCTTGTCACCGGACTTGCTGACGCATCAGCGGCTGGCCGCCATCCTGTTCCTGCACACGGAGGACTGGGCCGAGGCCCATGCAGCGCATCGGATGCTGGCCGTGGCCGGGCTGCCCACCGGTCTGTTCGACCTCGCCCAGGACTACGCCCAGGGCCGCGGCGTCGCCCCCGATCAAGCCGAAGCCCGCCGCTGGTACGAGCAGGCCGCCGAGGCCGGCCATGTGGGCGCCATGCGCATCCTCGCGGAAAAACTGCGCTACGGCGCCTTCGGAACGCCGCCGGAGCCGCGGCTGGCCGGCCAATGGTCCGCCCGGGCCGAGGCGGCGGTCGCCGGACTGCCGAAAAGGGCGTCCCCGAAAAGGGAGCTTCCGAGTGCCGCCGATCCGCCCGCCAGGGTCGTCCCGGGCCAGGAGTGAACGAAAGTATCCCGTCTTGAGATTGATTGTCGCTTGCCCATTCGTCATGTAACGGTCAAGGATCTATGATATAGATCAGTCGTGCAGCGAGGAGCGCCAGCGATGTATCGCGACAACTCCCTGGTTCCAAGCGAAGCCATTCGGCTTCTGGCCCTCGGTCTTCTGGCAGATGCCCCGCGAAGCTACGCCGAAGTTGCCGGCGAGGTGCGGCATTTCACGGGCCGCATGGTCGGTCCTTCGCTCGAACTCCTGGCCTCGCCGCTCGAACTCCTGAAGGTGGAAGGGCTGGTCGAGCCGATCGAGGGAAGCGGCGAGAGCCAAACGCTGCGCGTCACCGAGACCGGGCGCAGCGAGCTGCAGCGTCTTCTGGCGGCGAACCTCCGCCCCCAGGTGACCGACGTCAACAAGCTGATCATCGCCCTGAAGATGCGCTTCCTGCATAATCTGGCGCTTGAGCAGCAGCTCGAACAGGCGGACATGCTGGTCGAGATCTTCGAACGCGAACTGGCGCGCCTGACCGACCTGCGCGGCCACGCGCCCGCCAACGGCGGCGAGCTTCCGGCCTGGCTGGATCTCGAGATCGGTGCGACCCAGGCGCGTCTGGCCTGGTTCGAGGATCTGCGCGACCGTCTTCCCGCAGCCTGACCGCGATCCCGCCTCGGTCGATCCATCCTAGTAGGGCGATCCCGCCCTAGGAAACCTTCAGGATCTCCTTCGCCAGGGCGGAGATTTCCTTCGCCGCCTTCCCGCTGGGTTGAACCTCCCCGACCGAGCGGCCTTCGGACAGGGCCGAGGCGAAAACTACTCGGTTCCCGATCCGGGCCTTGGCGATGCGGGCGCCGAAGTCCTGCACCTCCGACAACATCTCCTCATTCAGCTTCGCCCGGGGCGGCACGCGGTTCAGCACCACCAGAACCTGCGTGCCCTCGCCGGCCGCCAGATCCAGCGTCGGGCGCGTCGCCCAGACGTCCATCGGCGACGGCTGGACCGGTATCACGACCAGATCGGCAGAGCGGACGGCGATCTTCGCCTCGGTCTCCGCATGGGGCGGCGAGTCGATCAACACCACGTCATGATCGCGCGCCAAGCGCTCGACCTCGTTGCGCACGCGCCATCCCTTGATCGGGTTGACCAACAGCCCCGCACCGGCATCGCCGAAGCGCTCCTCCCTCAGACGAAACCACATGGTGAGCGACTGCTGCGGGTCGATATCGACGACGGCGACCTTCTTCCTGGCTGCGGTGTAGGCAACGGCCAGATGCGCAGTCAGGGTGGTCTTGCCGGCTCCCCCCTTCTGCTGCGCCACGGTGATGATCTTGGCGACCATGTCTGCTCCTTTACCCGTCGTTGCCTCCGTCGTGTTGCGCCGCAGCATAAAGCGCTCGCGAGAGGGATGCACCATAATCGAACGGCATCCCGGCAAGATTTGCGTCAGGAACCTTGCCCTATTTACGCGCTTGACCTGCGGAATTGGCAGGCGCAGGCTCTGGAGTACGTGGTCGCAGCGTTCGGCCCGGCCGAGGGTCGTGACGACGAGAAGCTCGCCGCAGTGCCCGTGCGGCGAGGGTGCCGGATGGCCCCCGCATCCCGAGAGGATGATGGCGCATCGAGCGCCGAGGACCACCGGCCTCACAGGAGCGAAGCCGGAAGCCGTCAAGATCTTGGCGGCTTCCGCATTTTGGGGACACCGGCGGAGGCTTTCGAGCCAGAGTGCGCGGCGCCACGCGCCGAGGCCCAACTGGACAGATGTGCGGGAAGCAGCTACCCAGCCGCGCCATGGTCCACCCGCCTCCCCGCATTCGAGACGCCGACAGCGCGGCAATCGAGCAGGCCGCCACCCTGCTGAAAGCCGGCGGCCTGGTCGCCTTTCCGACCGAGACCGTCTACGGCCTCGGGGCCGACGCCCGCGACGATGCAGCGGTCGCGAGGATCTTCGCCGCAAAGGGACGGCCGCGCTTCAACCCGCTGATCGCCCACTATCCGGACGCCGAGACCGCTGCCCAGGACGTCTTGTTCGACGCAGTGGCGGAGCGGCTGGCCGGCGTCTGCTGGCCCGGCCCCCTCACGCTGGTGCTGCCGCGCCGCCCGGACTGCCGGCTCTCGCTGCTCTGCTCGGCGGGTCTGGAGACCCAGGCCGTGCGCGTTCCGGATCAGCCGATCGCCCACAGTCTCCTGCAGGCCACCGAGCGGCCCCTGGCCGCGCCCAGCGCGAACCGCTCGGGCCGCATCAGTCCGACCACGGCACAGGCCGTGGCCAGCGAACTGGGCGAGGCGGTGGATCTGATCCTGGACGGCGGGCCCTGCCGGATCGGACTGGAATCGACGGTTCTGGATCTTTCAGGAGAGCGCCCGAGGCTTCTGCGCCCCGGGGGACTGGCGCTGGAGCGTGTGACAGAGCTGTTGGGCGCAGCGCCGGAACCGCCGGGTCCCGAGGAACCGGCCGACGGCGCGGCACGCGCGTCGCCCGGATTGCTGGAAAGCCACTACGCGCCCGAGACGCCGATCCGGCTCGACGCGCAGGATGCGGCTCCCGACGAAGGCCTGCTGGCCTTCGGGCCCTCCGCCCCGGGCGGCGCGGGCGTGACTCTCAACCTCTCGCCGAGCGGCGATCTGACGGAGGCGGCCGCCAACCTCTTCGCCTATCTGCGGCGCCTCGACGGCGCCGGCCTGCGGGTCATTGCCGTCATGCCGATCCCGGATCGGGATCTCGGCCGGGCCATCCGCGACCGCCTGCGCCGGGCGGCGGCCCCCCGCCCGCCCCGACCGTAACGCCGGCGAGACGGAGCCTTCCGGACATCCATCTCTCGCGGGCGGCGGCACCGCCAAGCGGTTCCATAGGACCGCAACAGGCTCTAGACTCACGACTATGCCAGAAGGTCTTTCCGTATCGGAACGCTACAGCCGCCTGCGCGAGGCGCTCGCCGCCGTCGTCGGCCCGCGCCATCTGCTTGCCGATGCGGCCGATCTGGCGCCTCACCTGGTGGAGGAACGCGGCCGCTACCGTGGCCGCAGCCCCTTCCTGGTGCGGCCCGGCAGCACGGAGGAGACGGCCGAGGTGGTCCGCCTCTGCGCCGAAGCGCGCGTGCCGATCGTGCCGCAAGGCGGCAACACCGGGCTCTGCGCCGGCGCGATCCCCTTCGAGGCGGGCGACGAGATCGTCGTCTCCCTCGGGCGTCTCAAGCGGATCCGCGACCTCGACGCCGAAAACTTCACCATCACCGTCGAGGCGGGCTGCATTCTGGCGGAGCTTCAGCAGGCGGCGGCGGAGGCCGACCGCCTCTTCCCCTTGAGCCTGGGTGCTCAAGGGAGCTGCCAGATCGGCGGCAACCTCTCGACCAACGCCGGCGGCGTTCAGGTCCTGCGCTACGGCAACATGCGCGATCTCACGCTCGGCCTGGAGGTCGTGCTGCCCGATGGGCAGATCTGGGACGGGCTGCGCGGCCTGCGCAAGGACAACACCGGCTACGACCTCAAGCAACTGTTCCTCGGCGCGGAGGGTACGCTCGGCATCGTCACGGCGGCGGTGCTGAAGCTCTTCGCCCGACCGCGCGAGATCGTCACGGCCTTCGTCGCGGTCCCCAGTCCCCAGGCCGCGGTGGCGTTACTCGGACGCGCCCGCAGCGCGACCGGAGAGACCGTCACCTCCTTCGAGTTGATCCCGCGCCTCGGGCTGGAGATGGCTCTGCGCCGGATCGACGGCTGCAGCGACCCGCTGAGCGCCCCCTCTCCCTGGTACCTGCTGATCGAGCTCTATGGCGGCGGAGATGAAGGATCGCTGGCGGAGGCACTGGAATCGCTGCTTGAGCGTGCCTTCGAAGAGAGCCTGATCACCGACGCCGCAATCGCCCAGAACGCCCAACAGGCCGCCGACTTCTGGCGGCTGCGAGAGGGGCTCGTCGAGGCACAGAAGCACGAAGGCGGTTCGATCAAGCATGACGTCTCGGTCCCGGTCAGCCGGGTCCCGGCCTTCATCGCGGAGGCAACCGCCGAGGTCGAACGCCGCATTCCAGGCGTCCGCCCGGTTCCCTTCGGCCACGTCGGCGACGGCAACATCCACTTCAATCTGAGTCAGCCCGAGGGCAGCGAGCGGGAGGTCTTTCTGGCCCGCTGGGAGGAGATCAACGAGGCCGTGCACGATATCGTCGCGCGCCTGGGAGGGTCCTTCTCCGCCGAACACGGTCTGGGCCGCATGAAAGTGGCCGAAGCCGAACGGCTGAAGCCGCCGATCGAGATTGAGATGATGCGGCGGATCAAGCAGACCTTCGACCCGCACAACCTCATGAACCCGGGCAAGGTCGTTCGTCCGGATCGCCCCGAGGGCGTTTAAATCACCCCCGGCGCTCTCCAGTTATTCAATCCTTAAGCTTTTCGAATCAACAATTTGTCGGCTGGTGAACTGACCCCGCAGGCTATACGGTTTCGGCTTCTCCTCGCCCATGCTCCTATCTTTCGACACCCATGGCCTCAAGCGCCTGCTGGATTCGATCTCCGCGCCGATCTTCGTCGTCGACGTGCTGTCGAACCGAGAGCTGCGCTATGCGGCCTTCAATCGCGACAACGAGCTGCGCACCGGCCTGCGCCATGACCAGGTTGCGGGCCGGCGGCCGGATGATCTGCTCGAGCCGGCGTTGGCGGACTATCTCGCGGACCGCTACCGCGCCTGCGTCGAGGCCGGGACGGTCATCGAATACGACGAGAAGCTGGTCGTCGCTGGCAAAGACCGCGTCTGGAAGATCTCCCTGTCGCCGCTGTCCGACGGAGACGGGCGGGTCAGACGGCTTCTCGGCACGGCCACCGAGGTCACGGCTCAGCGCGATCAGGAATCGCTGCTGCAGAACCGGGAGGCCTGGCTCACAACCCTGGTCGACGGCTCTCTCCAGGGCATCCTGATCCATCGCCACAATCGCCCGCTCTTCGCGAACACGGCCTTTGCCCGCATCTACGGCTACAGCTCGCCAGCCGAGATCCTGCGGGAACGCGATCTGACCCACCTGATCGCCCCGGAGGAACGCCAGACCATGGCTCTGTTGAGCCAGGGCGCCAGCCAGAGGCAGCAGGTCGACCACTTCGCTTGGGCCCGCGGCCTGACCCGGACCGGCCTTCCCATCTGGATCGAGTTCCGGGCGCGTACCGTCGAGTGGGACGGCCAGCCGGCACTCCAGGTGACGGTGGTCGATGTCACCGAGCGCAAGCGCTACGAGGACGAGCTGATCGCCTCGAAGGAGAGGTTGGAGCAGCAGGCGCGTTCGCTCTCGCAACTGGCGGACGATCTGGAGGCGGCGCGGGCCGTGGCCGTGAACGCACGGAAGGCCGCCGAGCAGGCCAACCGCGCCAAGAATCAGTTCCTGGCCGCCATGAGCCACGAGCTGCGCACACCGCTGAACGCCATCCTCGGTTTCTCGGAAATCATCTCCCAGGAGACCTTCGGGTCCTGCAACGTGACCCAGTATGTCGACTATGCCCTCGACATCAACGAGAGCGGACAGCACCTCCTGGAGCTGATCAACGACATCCTGGACATCGCCAAGATCGAAGCAGGCAAACTGGAAATCCAGCCCGAGGTCCTGGATCTGGAGGAGGTTCTGGACGCCTGCCGGCGACTCTGCGCCGTGAAGGCACTGGAACGCGACATCCAGCTGCACCTCGACGTCGCGAGCGGCGCACAGGTCGTCTACGCCGACATGCGGGCTCTGAAACAGATCCTCTTCAACCTGCTTTCGAACGCCATCAAGTTTTCCGAGCCCGGCGGCCAGGTCAGCCTCGCCGCCCGTCGCCTCGACAACGACTGGGTCGAACTGTCGGTCGCCGACGAGGGGATCGGCATCGCCGAGGATCAGATCACCCAGGTCTTCAAACCCTTCCACCAGGTCGACAACAGCTACAATCGTGAGGCGGGCGGCACCGGCCTTGGCCTAGCGCTCGTCAAGTCGCTCGCCGAGCTGCATAACGGTACGGTCGCGCTGGAGAGCCAGCTCGATCGCGGCACCAACGTTCGCGTGACCTTTCCGCCCGACCGAATGGTCAGGAACGGTGAATGCCGGCGAAGAGGCGCGCCTGCGGAAAGCAGCGCCCGGGACACGGAGGTCGCGGCCGTTCCCGCGGCCCTTTACACCGGCAGCCGCTAAGCCTGGAGCACCATCGCCGCTAAGCCGAATGCCCGTCGGACAGGCGTACCGGCGCCGAAGTCCGAAACCTTCGGAAAGCCGAGCCGTGCGGCATTGCCAGCGTCGGGGGGGCGACCTACTGTCCGGACATGAAAACGGCCGATCCAGAAGGCCGTAAGCCGTCCGGAGGACTGCCGCCATGACCGACTATCGCGCGCCCATCGACGACATGCGCTTTGCCTTGCACGAGATCGCCGGGCTGGAGGAGCTTTCGCGCCTCGATGGCTTTGCGGCCGCCGATCCGGAACTGATCGATCAGGTGTTGGAGGAGGCCGGACGTCTGGCCAGCGAGGTGGTCGCGCCGCTCAATCATGTCGGCGACCGCGTCGGGGCTGTCTTCGAGAACGGCGTGGTGCGTACGCCCGCAGGATTCCAGGAGGCCTACCACACCTATGTGGCGGCCGGCTGGAACAGCCTGCCCTTCGACCCCGACTACGGCGGCCAGGGCCTGC